ATGAAACTGAACTTGAACAGCAGCGGGGAGAGCTGCAGAGCCTGAGAAGCGGCCAAAATACTACACTGATCGAGGTTGATCGCCTTAAGCAGGAATTGGTGGATGATTCACGCGATAGGGACAAGGAGTATCAGGCCAACACCAAGCAAATCGGGGTCAAGATGGCCAGGCAATTTAGATACGGTTGGGTCTAAGGTCAGCAGCTCCCTGAGCATTGGTTCGTGGGGGATCCAAATGATTATGACGATGAGTTGGGATTTGATCCTGTTGGCTATGAACTATTTCAGGGTATGCATCTTGATGATTGTCCTCCAACGAATTACCTCCCCCATCGCAGGACCCCGCTAGCAGCTTTTCATAGGTCGACGTCAGCCCCTTATGGGTCAGTTGGGACCGATGTCCTTGGTGCTGCTCCTAATGCAGGATCGTCCATTGCCAGCACTAGGCCCGTCCTTGGATTTACAGGCTTCACATCACCCACTGGATTTTCTACCTGTGCTGGGCCTACCTCGGAGCCTATTTCTGATCTGTTCGATGATGCATCCTAGATTGCTTATCGTTGTTCACTACTTGTGTTTTTATTTCAACTTTATCTTTGCTTTTGTGTACTTAATTATCTCGGATGTGCTCCCTAAATTCCGGGCTCGCTTTACTAGACTTTATGAGTTTAGGGTTTAAGGTCGTCGTCTTTTGAATTTAACCCCGAAGATAATTACCCAAGGTGGATCACCATTTTCAAATTCAAAAACAAGGGATCGGATATCATATTGTTCACGTATTACGGCCTTATCAGGCGTCCCCCATTGAGCTACATCTCTGGATAAGTCTATATATAAAGGTTCATTCAGTTTTTAAGTGATCAACCTCGATCAATGTAGTGCTTTGGCAGCTTCTCAGGCTCTGCAGCTCTCCCCGCTGCTGTTCAAGCTCAGTTTCATATTTCTTGATGCACTTCCTGCTGAGCTCGAGGGTCGTCGTCTTTTCACATATCTCGTGGCTCATAGCCTGGAATCTTGCTATTTGCGCGTTACGAATCCCAACAATTTGCGAGACATAAGAAAATGAGCATTAGGCAACTATAATAGGACATGACAACTAGATAACATCAGCACAAACCCTCAATATTATCGTACCGCACTCGAGCAGTGTGATTGGTAGCCCTACATCTGTTCGTCAGTCATGGCTATGAAGTCATTCTCACCCAGTGAGCAAGCAAGAGTAAGAACACGAGGAACTTGCTAAGGTCGAGAATAAGTACTCGAGGCGGATGCAGCATTGGGCTAACTCAAACCCAAAACGACTTGCGGAGCATGTCGGGACTTCTTTGCAGACCCAGAGGGCTCGGTCCCTTTTCCCGATCTCCTTTCTCTACGACCCGGGAGTGATAATGAATGTGGCGCCGACATATCTGAATGATCAGACTTAGACTCCGATGAGCAGTCCTCGGAGCTGCTGTGATGAGCTAACTCAACCTCCCTTTCTTGAAATCTGGCCCGGATAAGGGACGCCGAATCCTCAGTGCAGCAAAGCTCGACGTCGAGGGAATAAATGTTCTTGAATAGATCTATTCCATGCAAGTTCAAATCAGCTAAAATGAACGGGAAGTAAATTGTTGTGCGACGAGCAGTAGAGATACGAATAAGAGTCGCAAGGTCCACGAAGCGAGTAACATCACACCCCTGACCGGTCAAGTTCTCCTCCAACCAAGTGATCCGGTCCTCAGGAGTAATGTACCGTGTCCAAATGAAGCGCTGCTAAGAGAAAAGGTTAATTAGACCAGCAAAAACATAATAAATTATATTCAAAAGGCATAAATCATATACCAAGTTTCGAGCCAAACACCGATAGGATATGCATGTGAGACATCTCAGGCACCGCCCATTCCCCAATGATTAAGAGAGGTTGGTTTTCCAATACTTTGTGGAAGTGGGTTTACAAGAAAATATATTTTTACCATATCTAGGCATAAAAAAGAAATAGTGACTTTCACCCCTAACACAAGCTAAGTCATGGAGGTAGATGAAACCCTTAAAGCTAAGGAACACACCCCACTTCAATCTGATGGCCAAAAAACCGGATGAGGAGATAAGAATTTGAGTTCAATTGCATGGGGTGAAGACCCAAGAAGAACAAAAGCATATGAAAAAAGGGGTGAAGTGGACCCCTAACGTACTCAATGGGTCGGCAAAAAAATTAAGGAGCCATCAGGGATACCAGTATCAGTGTACATGTCCTACCCCAGAGGAAGACGATCGATTCCCACGTTGTCGGGAACACATCCTTTGGTGCGAGCCTTAAGAATCTCGTAGCCCGGTGGGGCACCATTAGTCTTGGGCCAAAACTCGTGCCTCAACATGAAAATAGCACAGATGGAAATAATTCTTGCTAGGTCATAGCAAAAACGAGAGACCTTCAATAGAATTTTGAAATGCACAGAACGTTTTCCTTTCCCTTCAAGCCTAGAACCTATATGAGGAACAAAAGCAAAATATGAACGGTTTAGTGAATTAAATGTATTTTTATCGCCCGACCTTTTATATCACAAGGCGTGAGCATTAGAGAAAAATATATGACAAAGAGTCACGGGGAGAAGTTCTTTTCAAAAGTAAGAATAAGACTTGATACGGCCAAATAAGATATTCACCTTAGGCTCTCACAACAAAGGCCTGGTCTGATATGACAAATCAAAGCTATTCTACCCAACGCATGCGTTTCCCTAATAGAAAGTTGCATGCACTTCTTGGACAGATAAAAAGACAAAGAAATGCAACATGTATAAGGAATAAATGGTGCCAAAAATGAGTTCCATATACTAAGATAGGCTTATTCTCTTTCTCACACAAAGACTAAGTTATGAACCCCCTAGGATCAGCTTAAGTGAGGGAAAAATCTAAAGGCGTTGGGGTCTTCCGAGTTGGTTGAAAAGCCAAGAAAAAAAATTCTAAACTTGTAGGCCATTCGATATTGGTGTAGAGAGCAAAATGAAAAACCAAAGGCGCTTAGGTCCACAGAGTCGGCTCAAGCGCAAGAAGAAACCCAAAAGCTGGGGTTCACTTGGGATCGGCTAGCAAAGAGAAGAGCAAAGAGCATGGAATCCACCACATCATCTAAAGCTCAAGGAGAAAGCTCGTTCGGGCCCACGGGACCGGCTGAAATGTAAAACTCCTAAGGGTGCACTCCATGCGAGTTCGCGCTAGGCATGCAACAAGCGGATTGACTGTGGGTTTGCACTCTGTAGCGCGTGGGCCTCACCGTTGGGTTCAGCGCTCATGCATTGGGTTCCCACGTAATATTAAATTTCAACCATCCCTTGTGCATGAGGGCTCAACATGGGGATTAGGCCCAATGTTAAACCCAAGGTAAGAATTAGGCTCAACAAGTGATATTTGAGTGGGTTTGGCAATAATACATTCGTTTAGAAGAGCTCTTGTGTATGAGTTCTTCTCCAATGGTTCACCACAAGATTACATTTCATCAACAGGCAAAAGGAATGGGTTCTCTAGTTGGGATAAGTTGCAAGATATTGCTACAGGCATAGCCAGAGGCATTGAATATCTTCACCAAGGATGTGATTGGCGAATCCTCATTTTGTTAACAAACCTCGTAATGTTTTGCTAGACCACAACTTCACTCCAAAGATTTCGAACTTTGGTTTGGCAAAGTTATGTTCCAAGGATAAAAGCAGTGTCAATGACTACAGCTAGGTGGACCATGGGCTACATTGCACCTGAAGTGTTCTCCAGGAACTTTGGAAATGTGTCCTATAAGTCAGATGTGTATAGTTTTGGAATGCTACTGCTTGAGATGGCAGGAGAAAGGACGAATGTCAGTTCACCCACAGAGAACACAAATGAAATTTACTACCCTTAATGGATTTATAATCTTCTAGAAGAGGGAGATGACCTACGAATCCATATGTGTGAAGAAGGAGATGGTAAAATTCCAAACAAACTTGCAATTGTAGGACTCTGGTGCATCCAATGGTATCCAGTCAATCGTCCTTCAATGAAAGTTGTGGTTCAGATGCTGGAAGGAGGAGAAAACTTAAACATGCCTCCCAATCCTTTTGCCTCTACAGGTGGCGCACAAACAAATGCAAGTAGACCTACAAGAAATCTTAACATTCAGTTAGAAGCGATTCCTGAGTTGGAGTAACATGTGTTCTTATATATGTCTATGTACTTATGCATGTAAAATTCATAATTCTATTGGTTTTATTTTCTACTCAAAGGAAGTGTAACCATTCTTCCTCAACAACACGTGCCTGCAATGTCTTGGGATAATTAGAAATGAAAAACAGACAACAATCACAATAAGGCATGTGGTGCTATTTGATTGTCTTCATGTTCGAGAACAATTTCGTGAATGAGGTGTTCCTATAACCCTAGCACTACAATGAGTGCTCCTATGAGCCTAACATAAACTTAGTGATAGGGATGCTCTTATGGCCCCAAGCATGTACATAGTGCTCGGTGTTTTTCTATCTGAAGCATGTGCTCAAGCACTAGCCCAATACTCGGCATCCCATATGCCTCCAGCACATGCTCTCATTGAATATTGCAGCGGATCATATAAAGAAGGAATAGTTGTCCTAAAATCATGACAGAGAACGAACTGAAGCACGACATGATTTAAACTTACATACTGCCTAATCGAGGTATGTAAGTTTTCTTCATCATGATCATGATTCTTGAAAGTTTCAAGGTTCCGAGCTTCCCATTTAAATAAGACCAGTTTTGTGAACTTTTTCTTACGGTATTTGATATTTAGTTGTTAGTTGTTACATGTTGAGAGAAATAATGTTGGGAGGTAGTGGGGTTGGAAGGATGAAACATCAGAAACTTTCTAAAAAGAAAGAAATCGGTTTTAAGATGCGGGTTACACTAATTGATATGAGCAAATAAATAACCAACTGGAAAGGCAACCAGTGAATTTTCTTTGAAGTCTTAATATCACAGTTCTCTACCTTGCATGAAGGTGTGCCTCTTATCCTTTGCTTCAATATGTAAGTTCAATGGTTCAAGGGCTTCTGACCAAATTATGATCTCCAACTGGGTTCAACTAGTGAACCTGCTAAGTGGTACCATCACTATCAATCCAAGTTTTCCCATTGAATGACAGAGGGTTTCCCTGGTTACCCTTCCACGCTGGGAGACTGGTGAAAGCAAAACTAAAAATTACTGATTTGGAGAAAACACTGAAAGATAAGGTAAGGTGAGTATACATCGAGGCATAGACCTTGTGTCGCACATGGGAAAAAGCTCTGAGAAAGTACAACATCAAGGAACTGAAATGTCACAGTTAACAAAAGGAGGTCTCTATTTAAATGTAGTAGCAAATAGAAAATTATAGAGGAAATGTCCAAACCACTTTATTCTAATACGGTCATGTAGCCAAAACACTAACCCAAGTATCTCCTAAGTTTCCATTCTTTCTTCGTCTAATTGGCTACCAACATTAGCTGAACTAAACCATCTCTAAGACTGTTATAAATATAGTGCAAAAGCAATGTAAGTTGGAACATTACTAACTTTGGATATGCTATTAACAAAAAAATCTTATGCCAAATATTGGAAAACTGAGTTGACTGGCCACCAAAATTTCTGATCTTAAATAGCCATGAGATATCAATCAAAGTCATTCAACCTTTAAAATTTAGTTGGCCTTGCTTTCTACATTGTAATAACATTGATGAAGTCACTTATCAATGCAGAGTACCAGACTTCCAGAACTCCCTTTTAAAAGAAATAAAATAAAATAAAAAGAGCACAAATTTAATGTACGTACATTGAAACTTTTGGTTATGTATGGAAATCTTTGAAATCACCAATAAACCTTTAATTAGCAAGAACTCCTAAGACACAATACCCAAACTATTTTATGACCGTTGCACACAGCCTTCAATTATTTTCAAGTTATCACACCATCAGGCCTTGCACAGAAATGATGTTAAGATCATATACATTCCTGTAGAAAGTTGGAACTTGCAGTAAATCAATTGCTTTAGATGAAAACTAAATTCAAAGAGTTCCCTCACCACTACAAATGGTGGACCGATAAGGTAGGACTTATATGAAAATAGTTCATAGAATATACATACAGCATGCATGGACATTTACAGTGCATTTCCTTCACGTTGATGGTTGACAAGGTTTTAATTCACTCAACAAAATATTCTTGTTGTTGCTAGATTATTACCCAGCCAACTGCTGCTTTCTCGAAAATATTCTTAGGTCATGTAAGTTTCCAATTTAATCAAACATATACATTAACATCCTTGTCCATTATCCTTCAAGCTCAGTAATATAATCCTAATTTGTAAAAGAAATGGTGGTTCGCAGGTCCAAAATAAATATAAACTTTAACTCATGACTCAGAAAAAATATATGTATAAATTGTGCCCAAAAGAAATACTCATAAATAAAGTTCGTCAAACACGTCGACCATAATTATTCGTACGAAAGGAGTTGATGGCCTTGCAAAGTCAGAGGACCTCAGATCACCATGGAAGTCATCACCAACTTTACATGTTTTATTCGTTTTACAAAATGGTTTTGAATTGACCCAACAAACAGGTGACATACACACACTATCAAATTTAGCTTTTTTCACAAGTCATGCACATACAAACTAATGATTCATGACCAAATTTAGCTTTTTTCACAAGTCATGCACGTACAAACTAATGATTCATGAATAAGTACGATACTAAGTGGCACTGGTGTAAAATATAACAAAGATAAAAGAGAGAAACAGTTAATTTCAGTTACCTTGTAATCACTAGACAAGGAGAAAACAAATCCCGTTGACGTTGTTTTCCTTAATCCAACTCTTTGCCAGGACCACATCCACATTCGATGCCACCACCACACTCTTTGCCATTTCCACAAAACGCCTCTCCAGCATGCTATCCCAATCAACCTCTTACCTTAAAAAGATTGAAAGATCAGATTTCTGCCAATACCTGAATCACTCTTACGGTACATAATTATCATCATAATTCCTCTTAAAGCAACAGCAAGCAGAAGATGCTTCTACATTAACTAGATAAGTTAATTTAAATCCACAGATTCAGAAGCCAGTCTTCCTTTTAAAGAATAAAGTCCATGACTGAAACTACAAGTATTACTTGAATCATGTAATTAGAGTTTTTTTCCCCTTTCAGTCTAGTACCCATAAGAGGACCACAATTTCCAAACTACCTTTAAAACTTACCTAAATTCTGGAATTCTCCGACCCATAGACCTTTACACTATGCTAGGTAAGGGGAATGGAAAGTGGAAGGATGAAAAGTATGCAGGTATGGTGGGGATTCTTCATCCCTTGAGTTGTTTGGTACAGTGGAAAGTTCAGATGCAAGCTATCGTAGAAAAGTTATTTTATTATTCTTTCCATAATTATAATTGGTTTGTGATAAAACAAATTGATATAAAATTGAGAAGACAATGCTATCTTACATTCGTATTCCCTCTCCCAATCCATCCAGAAGCGGAGTGATAAAAATATGTTGGGTCCCAAGGGGTTGATTATCCCACCTTCTCTTTGCACCCCATCTCAGATCTTCTTTATAGAATTCATGTATGCTCCTGATATAACCATTCTTAGTTTGTTAAGGAAGCAATCCTCGCAATCACTAGTAGAAGATGTAACAGGGGACACAAGGGCAATAAGAATAAAATTTTCCCCATTTCCAACATCGATTTCATATAACTCGTGGAAAACTTCTCTGAACTCCTGTATCAATGTTGTGTAAAATGATCTATTTGGAGGAATAACATTTATAGCGAGGATCCCATTATCACAAAGAACTGATTTGGCAGCCAAAAGAACATCATTCCTAACAAACTCGAATGGCGGAGCAATTATACCATCTCCAGCATCCCTTGAATCTAAATCAACTAGCACTACATCAAATTTAGAATCAACGCCATTGCCATCGAGCATGGCACAATCATCCACTATCTCATGAGAACCAAAAGAACCAGAACTTTGTCCATTACCTCCACCCACAAGTTTCTCAATAACTTTTATTGCATCTCCAACGCAAACATTGATATGCTCACCACCCTCTTCCAGTCCAAAATACTTCCCAGCAACTCTTAAAACTTCCTTGTCCGCCTCCACACCCACAACCTGAAAACCGAGTTCGGCTTTTAAAAATCCAAGCAAAGCTCCTCCCCCAACTCCTAAACACAAAGCTTTCGGCCTAAACCCACTTCGAATCCGTCCCTCAATATAAGAAGCAATCAACTGCAGACTTGCCACCATAGGAACCAAATAAGGGTGCACTAAAATACTATTATCCAGCCTAAACTCTACTTCTCCGATTTCCACATAATCCAAACCAAAGCCCATGTTGGGAACAATACGTACCTCCGTTTGAACCAAATTGGGCATTCTTTTAAACCTCAAACGCCTCCTGAACTCCCTCTTTGAAGCCTCACCACCACTCTCAATCTCCACATCTTCCACCACCATTTCACCAACCAAAGACCCAACACACCTCTCCAAAACCACACTACAAATCACATTATCCTCATAACTCAAAATGGGTATCTCAGGAATGCCATGTTTGAAGCAAGACTTAGGAGATAAAGCAAGGAAAAGAGGTTTCAAACTCACCCCGAGTTCGCCATCACACGACGAGTCGTTTCTAGCTGGACGGTGGTAGATTGCCGGTGAATGGTGACCGTTGATGGGCTGGTTGCCGGTGAGGATTAGGCGGGAGATCCCGGGAGAGCTGAGCAGGAGCTGGAGGTGACCGGACTCGGTGGAGAAGATCCAGTCGGACTCCCGTTGTTTGGGGACGAGCATGGCGGCGACTCGGGGTGAGCCGGTGAGTTGAAAAGGTGTGTCGAGGACGGCGACGCGGAGGAGGGTGGTTGAGTTGGAGGGGTTGGGGAAAGTGAAGGTGATGAAACGAGATGGGGTTATGGTTTCGAATGTAGTCTTGTCTAGAGCCATTGAAGTTCCAGCCTTTTTGATTAAGAGGTGAACAAAGTTGAAAAATCGACCTGGGGATTTAAATAGAACAACTTTACTTTGGTACCAAATTCAATTTAAGAAATATTTAGCTCAACTGCTAACACATTCTCACAAAAACAAATAAAAAAATGAAAATGAAAATAGAAAATAATTAATAAACTAAAATGGAAAACAAAAAATTAGAAAAAGAAAAAGAAAATACCTCATCTCCTCCAGCCACCTTTATCTCCCATCCCGATTTAATGCAAAAACATTTGGCTTGGGAATTTGTTTATTTTTTTGGGTTCAAAACGTGTAACTCCATTAAACTAGGAAAAAACCCAAAGAATTAGAGAAAGCCCAAATCGCAAGGGAAGGGGAGATAGCATTGGTGGGAACAAAACACTGGAAAGATAATGTTATTGTATAGTTTTTACCAGTATTTGTATGCTATTAATTTTCATAACTTATAGGGTATGCTTATTTATCAATAATGGGTATAGAAAGAAATAGAATGATTTCCATTCTTGACTATCTCTGCATTTACTTACAATCAAGAATGAAAAAACTATGTGACCCCTATCTCAAAATCCGTAATCACATCCTCTCAAAACCAGGAATGGAATCAACTAGGGGGACTAATTGATCCAATTCCTTTTTTCTCGTACTACCATCCAAAAATACTCTTACCACTTTACAATAATTCCAAAACACCTCAAAGTCTTTAAAAAAAAATAAAAATTCAATGGCTATTTATTAATCACTATTGGAAAAAGCAAATTTTCCTTTTCACCTTGGTTGCTATCCTCTACTTACCTTGTTATGGTTCATATCACTATGTCATATTTGTTTTTTTATTCTATTATCTATATATATATAAAGCAAAAGGCAAATAATGGTAAAACATTCAAAATACCAGAAAATGTCATTCATTAATGCAAACATTAAGAATTGAAATTATTAATTAAATGAGAATAATATGATAAATTCACACTTTTCATTTTTTTTAAAATTAAAATTAAAAGAAAAATCAGATAATGGATCCTATTTTTATGGAACACAACTGCCCATTATCTTTTTTAATTCTAAAATAAATTTTAAAATTTTAAAAAAAAAACCTCTCGCAGGCGCGAAAGCGCGTGCAAAGAGGCTAGTATTCCTTATATTATTATATACTAGTTTTTTCATCACTTGTCATATAGTATCTTATATTATGCAATAGTTATAAAATAAAGTTTTGTCAATTTTCTTTTTTACAAGTTATTCAGGTGAAAAATATATATTTATACGTCTCTAATTCATGAGAATTAGTAAACAATAACAATGGGATTCTGTTCGGTTCATTTTTACACATGATTTTTCATGTTATTCACCCACTATTTTGAGTTAGTTCTTGACATTTTATAACTTTTTACTTCCTTTTTGTGTTTTCTTAGATTTTACCTTGGTTGGAATGAAAATGAGCTAAAAGTGCATTATTAGTTATAAATTTTGTTTTTGTTCATTTTCGTAGGTCAACTTCTTGGCCTGGGATCAACATGCTCTGGTGCTCGGATGAGGTCATGATCTTCATGAGACTTGTTCCAATGGATGTTAACTACAACATATCCAAATTTGAGCTCCATTGGAAAAGTATTGCCTATCCAACCAATCCAGCATGTTACCACAGCTCTGGAAATCCGATTTTGGCCAGCTTTCACCTCCTTTGTGAAGTCAAGGCTTCATCATGACAAAGGAGACAAAGGATGATGGGTGAAGATTTTGGCAATAGAATACTAAAAGTA